CTGAATCTGGCTTGCATCACCTTATATAGACAGTTGAGTGGCTTTGTTAATCATGTCCAACAAATTTTTGACAGCTGGACTCAATTTAAGGTGGAAAAAACATCTCAAGGATGATCAGTGGAAACAAGATGCTCCCTGACTCAATGTTGAGCAAAACTGTGAACATTTATGTAATTTTTTTTCTTTGCTGTCTATTCTTAATTATAGTGCTACAGTCTAGAAAATAACAAAACTTAAATTTTCATAATATAGTATTTTGTGTTTTATATATTTATATAACATATATGTTCTGTCTTATATATGGTATTTTGTGTTATAATTCTGAGAGCATTGATTACAAGATGATCATGAAAGGATGCAGTGGAGGTTTCCCTCGCTTTGACTTTTTCAATTTTAGTAACAAAGAGACCACAACCTTCTAATTGTTTAATATGGATATAATGTAATTTCACCACAATTAGAGCTAGAAACTCTTTGGCTGATGGTTTTGCTCATGATTTTTCACAAACTACTGGAAGGTCAGTGAATCTGGAAGGAGAGGATCAGCACGGATTGCCTGCTTTTCGATCAACATGTGGAAATAAGTCTCTGCATGGTAATCAAAATGAGTTGGGCACTTTTTCTGCGTGTTTACAGAAAAAGGTAAAGCATTTAAATACTGGCCTTCATACAAAATTACATGAAATTAGCATCAAATCTTGTGCTTTAGTTTGATGCATGAAAATATCACACTACTCACTAATTTTCTTACTCTAAAAGAACATTTCCTTCACATCTCTGGCAGAATTCTCCACTGGCAGCTTCATACAGTATGTAAACATGTTCTCGGTGTAGAACCACATCGGCTCATCTCACAAACATAAAATCGTTTTCACCCTCCCCTCCCAAACTCCCCCTTGAGAACTTTGCGTGTGTTGGCAGAGCAATAAAGCGTTTTGGATGTGGCAGCAGGTCCACGCAGCAGAATGACGGAGGAAGGAGTGAACTTCTTCCAACAGCCACAAGAACGTTCAATAAATCATCAAGTTAAAACAAGATGTCATGAGGATGCAAAGCTCCTCGCTGAAGGAGAAATTGAGATGACAGGTGTCAATAGGGAGTGAACCATGTGGGCTTTGTGAGTGGGCAAGAATTGAATTTCTATGAGCAAGAAAGCAGAACACCCCAAATGTCAAATCCATTTATTCATGCAAATCATAAGAGAACATAAAAGGAACTGCAGAGGGTTTACCAGTGCCATCGTCTTTGGATCCTCACGTTTTTGTTACACACAAAAATGTTAAATTGGTCTACATTTACTACACACACTGTGAGGATATCATGGGAACAGCTAACATTTTCTAGTACTCGGTCTGGAATGAAATTTGAGGCATCTAATCTACAATGGCTTAAAACACATTACAGTAAACTACATAGAAACTACGTGTAAACATCCTGTTTCTGCAGGTGAAAGCTTGCTTGTGAACATATCTACGAAGGATGCCCCCAGTCTCATCTTTTCTTCTCTCTGCACTAACAGCCAAGTCCGCTCATGGACCCGATCCGGTCCAGTTTCAAGCCAAAGCATCCTCTGTTCCATCCTCTCCGTGACCTTTCCGGTTCCGCTTGCCTCTGACTGGCCAGGGCTCCCTTCAGCAGCCGGAGCCAAGGGGTCTCGGGCTCAGTCTGGATGTCTGCCCATTTGGGGAACTCGGCTGCTTTGACCCCAGAGGAGGAGGAGGAGGAGGAGGAGGCAGTGGACCGATCGTCCGTCGGGCTGTTTAGAAGGTTCTCCAGGTCGTCCAGGGTCAGGAGGTCATCGTAGCGCTCAAGAAACTGCTCCAGAAACTACACAGAAGGAAGGAAAAAAAAGGAAATCAAATTTTTAGGGTGTGCACAAGGGAGAATAATTCAATCAGCAAGATATTTAATTTTCTTTCAATTTTCCTGCTCCACCCAGTTTCATCCTAAGCCACTTTCTTATTTTTCCTCTAGCTTACCTGTGAAGCTTCGGGGGCAGGATGAAGAGCACGAGCCTCTGTCATCTCAAAGGGAGTCAGGAGGAGCAGAGCGGCACACAGCAGCACGGGGCGCAGCATGGCAGCGGGAATAATAATTGCAGATAGAAGAAGTGGGAAATGCACTGGCTGCAGAGATCTGAACGCTGAAGAAGGTAATAGAGAAATATTATTAGAGAGAAGTTTAGGTATAAGAAATCAAACTATGAAAAAGTAGAAAATCAATGATCGACAATGGCTTTGTGTTTCTGTGAAAAACTTTATTTTGGTTTTGAGAAAAATATGCAGTCAGGCAAATAGAAAGCATCTACGACATATAACTGAAACTAAAACAATTAAAAAGAAAAAGAAAATAATAGATTTTTCTGCCTGTACTTTTTTGAATTTTGATTTAAAGCTAACTCCATATTTTCTTTTAAATCAAACCTATTTCCTTATATATATATCCTTATATATATATTTTTTATTTTTATATATATACAAAGAGCAATTAACACAGGTGTGTTCACTTGCAAAAAATGACATTTTATTTTCAAGCTGAGCAATAGAAAAATTAAACAAATAAAATTTGATATCAAGTTTGATAAAAATAGAATAAAACTCCTGTTTGATTAAACTACATAATTGGAAAAAAAAGAAGTTTATATAGTCATTCAATTTGTCGACATGTAAATTGGCATTCTATTGCATTAAAACAGATGAGAGGTAAAAGATAAAAAAAAAAAAAGGTGAGAGTAAACATTTCGTAAATCTCACCTGATGTTTGTTGTCTCTCAGAAAGCTGGGCGTCTTCTCTTACAGTCTCTTCTCCATTCCCACCTTCTCGGGCTCTCAGCTTCCTCTCACTTGTTGGCACCTGCTGGGAGCATCAGTTTCTCACTCCGGCTGGCTCCTCCTCCTCGTTTCCACGCTGTGATGGACTTAGGAGAATGATGATGAGGGTGATGGTGATTGTCTTGCTCCTGCTTCTGTATCTGCTGGGGCTTCAGGCGGGATGCTGCAGAGGTTTTGTAGAGCCAGAGATCCCCCCCCCCATCCCACCCTTCCTCTCCTTTCTCTCATCATCCTCCTCCTCCTCCTCATCTCCTTTTCTTTGGAGTGATGTCATAGCCTCGGAGAGACTGATTGTCATTGCCAAGGTGACTGTATGTGTGGTGAGCGCTCTGCAAACCCAACTTCAGCCAGAGCGTTCCACAGGCTAAGGTCAGAGGCCAGCAGGCAGCCTTGTCCCTGTTACCTGTATATGATCAGGTACCCACCATGGACACCCTTAATGCACTCCAGTCACGACTTATCCTGAATTATACATTTACCATGCGCTAAAAACACTCAGCGCATATTAGCCTCCCTCTTTTCCCTTTGTCTCTGTAGTTTTTTCCCAGCATGTGCTGACCTCCCCCTCTCTGCTGTGTAACTTACAGTCTGTCAGTGCCATCTGCTCCTTGTACCCCCTGCTGCCAAATTACAACACTACCAGAAGCTGCTGCAGAATTCAACACACTGACCTTAAAGTTCAGCAGCCGCTGATTATTTCAAGTAAATAAACCTCTGCCTTTACCGACGCAATCAGACGTTACCGAGTAGAGTATCACAGAGCATACAAACTGATTCTTTAATTTTTTCATTTGTTTCCGGGTGCACCGTTGTGTACAATTGTATTTGCACTCATAACCCAAATTGTGCTCAGATAAACAAAGTTACCCCCTGCTGTGGCAAGTGTCTTTACATAACATATCAGAAAAATGCTCCCCTCTCATCTTTTTGGAGAGGACACTGTGTGGGAGACAGCGTAGGAGAATAGGGAGAGAGAAAGAGATTAGTGATGATGGTGGGGTTTGAACTACAGTGGTATGTGATGTCAGTGGAGCGCTGGAGGAAAAGTAGGCAGTTGAGAGTAGGAGGAGAAAAGGAGGGAGAGAAAAAAAAAACACACCAGAAAGGGAGCAGAGGGAGATCTACAAAAGAGATTGATTACAGGAGGGCAGAAAGAGACAGCTAGGCAACGGAGATTCTATCAGACAAAGAGAAGAAAAATTAAAACCGTATCTTAAAAAAAAAAAAAAAAAAAAAAAAGAAAAGATTGATGAGAAATACAAGGAAAATACATCTCCTACAAAAAAGATGAATACTCAACTTTATATTCCCCTCTTCTTCACATTTTGTCACTTTATCATTTGAGCTACAATATGTTTGTAAGAATAGGAAAATTGTATGTTAAGATTAACAAGCTATTCAACTCACTCAGGTGTGATGTAAAAAAAAGTTAATACTATGTCAATTTATCGGCTGCAATCAGGCTCTAATCCACCCTTACTTTTAAGTGGAGCCAATTTGGCAAAACTTTATATTTTTTTGAAAACTGAAAAGCTATTTGTTTTAGATCATGTCATATTATCTTGGTAGAATTAAGACTGGTCTTTCACTAGGCCATTTATAGTCATTTTTATATTTTGTTTTTTGCCAGTCTGATTTGCATCAACACCCTAAATACAAGCCATGCTGCCACATGTGCCTCTGCTGTGTGTATGTATATATGTGTATACGTGTGTATGTATGTATGTATGTATATATATATATATATATATATATGTATTTATTTATATATACACAGTTTAAATGTTTTATTCTATTTTATGAACCTCTGTAGTCCAGCGAACACTTATTCTGTATTTTTTTTTTTTACAATCTTAAGATCTGTCCAGGGACAACAGATGAAAAATAGTATTTTGGCTAATTCTGGTGCATTTGCAGCAATGCTTTTTAATGTACACTGTCCCTGTCAAATAGGAAAAAAAAGGCATCAGTATTTTCCTGCTAAACAAGCAAATAGTTCCATCAGCTTCCATCATCACACTGCCACCACCATGCTTACCTGCTGGGGGGGGATTCTGCCGCTGTTAGTTTTGTCTGATGTAACAGGACACACCCCTTCATAATAGCTGCACTTTTGTGTCATCACTTAAAAAAAATTAAAAATCCCCAAAAGTCTCTTGGATTATCAGGTAGTTCTGGGGAATAATCTGATAACCTGGCTTTTAAATCAGGCCTGTATTGTTGTAGATGTTATTTGGCCCCTCCTTGGTTGGTTATCACTGTGCTTTTTTTAATGTTTTTTTTTTTTTTTTATGTTGATTGTCGTGAATAATGAGTATTTATTTTACTCATGATTTTTATTTCAGCCCAATTAATACATTTTATTTCAATATTTTTTTTTTTTACTCAAAAAGATTTTAACAGACAAATATCTGATGCAATATGGGAAAAAAACACATGAATGAATGAGTAAGATGAAAATGCAAACTATATCCACTTTAACAAAACTTTTTTTTTTAAACCAAAAACAGAAAAATAAATGAATTTTAAAGAATGAAAAAAAAAATGCATAACCACTGCCGCTGCTTGTCCTTTGGTCAGGCTGAGGCAACAGCCTGTCCAAACACACAAAACAAGCAGACGTTCACAGCTGCTTCGAACAGTACTATAAATTTACATGACATCACCTTGCAGACAATCCCAACTGTCGGGATGGTTTTAAGATTCTCACAGTGTGAGAAAAATGCATAGAAATACCAACTTCTCTTGGTGCACACACAGAAACACACACCATGATGTACTCTGATTCAAGTATTAATAACATTTAGAGGGATTATAATGTAAATGGGTCTGACTGAGGTCAAAGCTACATCTTTCAGTTCATCTGTACCTCAGAAAAACACTTGGAGCTAACCTGCTACTATCAACTGGTTAATGATTAGACTGCTACCTTGAATAACACCTGTGATCAGCTGCAACTTGCCAAAACAACTGTCCATTCCATAATGACCCTCTTTCAGCCACCTGACCAACAGCGTGCAGCACCATGTAGGAAGGGGGAGGCACCTGCTAACTATAAAGCTGTAGAAAGATTCACCTTCTGAATGATTTGGTGGAGCATTTTAAGCTTTTAAAGCCCTGACTTTATGAAGCTGTGGTAGTATTGGCATCAGTAATCACACCACGCCTAGTTAAGAGTTTACTTCAGTGTAGGATAGGCAGGGGAGAGATTCTAATGCTCTGGTTTAGTAAAAAGAAAGTGAAGTCCAGTTTAAAAGTTCATAGCCTAGCTCCTTATATCTGAGTGATTAAAACAATTCTGTTAGTTTATAAATCACTGAATGGCTCAACACCGAAGTATATTACACATGTCAGGTAATGAGGATTACGTCTACTCTGCATACCAAGAACCAGACCCAAACATGGAGAAGCAGCTTTTAGTTCTTATAACTAATCTGGAATAAACAACAGAAAATTGTGAAAGTGCTAAAACCCAAAATTACGTTAAAAACGAGATTAAAGTAGACATTTAAAGTGACTTTTGATTTTTCTATTAAACATTAAGCTTTTTAGTTTCTTCACCTGCATAATGAATTTTTATTTTGTTTTTATAGTAATTTTTCCATTTGATTCATTTTCTTTAACAATTTTAGTGCCTGAACTTCAAAGATTTAAAATTGTTTGTGCAACTTTTGTGATACGTGAAATGATCGGGCCTGTTGCAGGTGATCTACAAAGACATAAAAATGTAAGCAGACCCCAGGCCTTGATATTGACATTACTGTTAAAAAAGAACTCAAAAGGTAAACTGGTTCACGAGGTCGTTGAGTTGGACTCCTCTCTTGGAACATATATATAAGAAAAGAAAGATTTGGTATTTGAGTACAGGGGACGCAGTAGTTGAAAATCAGTTCTAAACAGGCACCAGCCCCTGTCTAAAACTGCCGGCACACAAACACACGTATACATATATATATATATATATGAACTGCTCTCTCACCCACTACTCATACATTCTGTTAACCATACCAGCAACCTTGAATACGGTGTTACATGTTTTCCTTTCCTGTCAGTATCTCCCACCCAGCTGTTTTTTTACTGGTGCCTCTTTGCATAGTCTGCACCTGGGTTTCTTGCCCGTTATGGTAGATCTGTTCTCTATTGCTCTGGTGCTTAAGGCCTGCTCCTGTGCTGTCCTTCAGCTCCGCCCTCTCTAACTATTGGTAGGACTTTGTCATATCAGCCGCTTTAGCTATCTGTTGTGGTTACATCCCACAGGGATTCTTCCACTGTCTGAGACTTTCACTGAGCAAGTCATGGCTTTGGGCCGTCTTCCTGAGGTATTCTTGAAGGGTGGTTGTTTCATTGCATCTCTGGTCCTCTAGGCCTCTGCCTCCTTCTTTGCACTTAGTGTATAGACTTCATACTAATTTTGGGATGGAATCCAGCATGCATGGAGAAAAGCTTTTGTGTTTTACCATCAGTGGCCTGAATTTCCTCATTATGCCAAATTACGATGGTTTTTACACATACATACACAACTTCTTTTGTCCTGGCTGAGCAAAGGCTGTCAGTTGGTCTTTCTCAGTTTGGTCACTAGAATAAGACCGCAAAAAGGTTTTCAGGTCTGCTGAATTGAAAGCACAAATTACTTTGGATCTTCTCTGAAGATGTTCTTTACATACAAACCTTTGTATCCGCTTTAAGACTCACACACTTTCTGATCAGATGTGTTGTCATTTATTCCCCATACTATTCAATTGTAGCCTTGAGAGGAAGTTGAGGAATCTTCAGTGCCTTAAACATTTTAAACCATATTTAAAACAAACATACCGTAAGAGAAAACAGTAACATAAAGACTAAATTTAACAAAAGTTTCTACTGTGGACAAAAAGTTGATATAGGATTTTCCATCTGGGCACCAAAAGGTACTCTCCTAAAATAAAGCTATGTGGAAGGCTACAGGTGTTCCAGGAAAACATCTCCCTCTCTGGCCAGATGCAAAAAAGTTTAAGAGGGATATCCCCAGGTTATCCAAAGCTGAAAGTTTTACAGAGTGCTTACTAACCACTGAGCGATTACTCGATGATAATGTAATAGAAGCAGATTTCAGGAAATAGCCCCCTGCATGGAAATATTCAAGGAATGCCTAGACTTAAAAGCAGGCTT